AGGCATCAATTTGTGAGGATTTGATTTTAGGCTAGTGGTTGAAAGTGATAGACATTCAATAGATGCCTACCTTTAGATTTTGAATCTTGATCTTTCCCCATGTGTTAAGGTATTCTCTGGATACTGGGCAGTGGCATAGGATTCAGCTACTATCAATAGGCTCATAACCAGTCAACTACAATGCATTGTGTTGCTAAGCTAACTTGCTCAGTAGACCCTGATGCTTTAGATGTATTTTTGACTTAATATTTTCTATCTATGATGAATTTTTTGGAATGGACCCTTCCCCCATTCCAATCCAATGAACACCTGCTTTTGTTGAACTCCTTCATACCTTGTACAAAATACTGACCTCTAGAAGGGTAGAAAGCCAGTGGCTGCAGAGTGGATGGGGAGAATGTGACAGTGGAAATGAAACCATGGAATGGAGCTATCCAGCTCTTTGGAGGTGCTTTCTGAAAGCTGATTTTCTTGCAAGGAAAACAAGAGGATGCCAATCATGAGGAAAAATAATATAGCCAGAAGTGTACATCTGTTATCATCAGTATTTGGGAGACTGAGGGGGCTTGAGTTCAAAGCCAGCCTGTATTACATAGTGAGATCTTGTCTCAAAAAACTTCATATTTTGTGAGTTGAATAGAGTTAATCCTACTTTATTTTTTAAACTGGGAGGAAAATGCATTTAAAATAGAAACTTAGGGAAAGGAACTCTTGTAGGAATATTCAAATGACAGAAAATCTCATGTTATAACATCAACAATGAATTAATGAGCACTGACTGATATACTTCTCTCAATATTAGACTTATCTCAGTATTTGACTAATATTAGACTAGAAGTGATTAATCACAAAGAGAGAACATTCCAGTTCAAGTGTTTCTTGATGAAAGTGTTTTCCGTTTGGTCCTGGCCATTATGTTTGGAACTATATTCATTCGATCATATACTCACAACATAACCATTCATTGTAGATATTTATACAGGATATTGTAGATGATGTCTTCTAGAGTCAAACTTAGGAAACTTGGAGACCTACTATACAGTTAAAATCTTATACTATGGCTGTTATTTCACCTCTTCCCTGATTTCATTGTTCCTGCTAGAGTCCTCAAGACTCCCTCTTTACCCATTAGATTCCCCTTCCTATCAAAATCTGAGTCTAGTGAACAATGACTAAAAGTTTTGTGTTTTCCTCACCATAAGCACGTACATATAATTTGCATTTAATTTTCATTGAAATTAAGTTTTGTTTTGTTTTTTTTTTTTGATGCTGGGAGGTCAAATCCAGGGTCTAGGATATGTTAGGTAAGCAGTCTATCACTGAACTGCATCCTCAGCGCCAATGTAAAGATTTTCAAGAGTCACTGAATATGAAGTAGTCTGTAAACACACTACCCTGAATGTGCCCAATCTTATTCAAATACAAGGTAGAATATCAGGATGCCTTATGAGTCTTTCTTGTGTGCTGAATATAAATCCAAGATTAAGGGCTGGAGAGATGGCTCAGTGGTCAAGAGCACTGGTGACTCTTGCAGAGGACCCGGGTTCAATTCCCAGCACCCACATGGTGACTAACAACCATCAATAACTCCAGGTCCAGGGGATCCAACATCCTCTTCTGACCTCCTCAGGCATTGTACATGGGTGCACTTACATACACGCAGGCAGTACACTCATACACATAATATAAAGGTAATGCTTAAAATAAATAAATTCATGATTAATGTGTATGCTGTATAAATCCATGATCAACGCATATATGCCATATAAATATGTGATTAATGTGTGCATGCTGTATAAATCCATGTTTAATATGTGTATGCTATATGAGTCCATGATGAGCATTGATATTCTGTATAAATCCATGATTAACAAGTGCATGCTGTATACATCCACAATTAACATGTATTTGCTATGTAACTCTATGATTAACATATATGCTATATAAATCCATGATTAACATGTGTATGATTGTCCTAGTTAGCTTCAGTTGTCAACTTAACACACCTGGGAAGAGGGAACCTCAATTGAGAAATGACCTCCGTCGGATTGGTCCAAGGCCCTGTCAGTGGGAGCATTTTCTTAATTGTTGTTTGATGTAGGAAGGTCTAGCCCACTGTGGGCAGTGTCAACCCTGGGCAGGTGGGCCTGGGCTTTATAAGAGAAGGAGCTGAGCAAGCCAGGAGGAGCAAGTCAGTACACAATGTTCCTCTGTGGTCTGTACTTCTGTTCTCTCCTCCAAGTTCTTGCCCTGAGTTCCTACTTGACTTTCCATAAAGTTGGACTATGAGCTATAAGACAAATGAACCCTTTCCTCCCCAAATTGGTTTTGGTCAGTGTTTTATCAGAACAATAGAAAACAAACTAGGGCAATGTAGGATAAATATGATTGATTTGTATGTGCTCTACAAATATGTGATTAACATATGAATGCTGTAAAATCCATGATTAAGATGTGTATGCTGAGGGGGCTGGAGAGATGGCTCAGTGGTTAAGAGCACTGGCTGTTCTTGCAGAGGACTTGGGTTTTGTCCCCAGCACCCACATGGCAGCTAACAACTATGTGTAACTCCAGTTCCAGGGAATCTTATGCCTTCTTCTGACCTCTGTGGCCATTGTACAACACAGGTGCACTTACATACATGCAGGCAATACACTCATATGTTTGAAATAAAAAAATAACAAATGAAATATTTTAAAATAAAAATGGGTATGCTGAATCTACTAATTTAACAGCATATTTACAGCAGTGTACAAAGAGGAAAAACATTTGTCTTAGAAAAGTAGTACTGGGGCCTGGTGAAATGGCTCAGCAGGTGAAAGCACTTTGTCTTGCAAGCCTGACAAACTGAGTTCAATCCCTTGATCCCATGGTGCAAAGAGATAACAGATTCTAAAATTTGTCCTCTGATCTCCACACACTTTACCTCACTCACCCACATACATCATAAAGTCACACAATAATTAACAAATTAAAAGAAAAATGTTATTTAGTTCTCCTGACAATTAGTATAAATTTTAATTAAACTTTTCTCTCCATCAAATAGATGTGACCATATTTTTGTATAGCTGTATGGAAAACCTGGTAACAACAAAGTATGATGAAAGGCTGGGGAGGTGGCTTAGTGTGTAAAGTACTAGCTATGCAAACATGAGGTTTGAAGTTCTTCTTTTCAGAACCCATGTAATTCCCAGGCAGGCATGGTGGCCTGCCTGTAATCCCAGTGCACGGGAGATTAGAGGCAGGGAATCCTTGGAACAAGCTGGCTAGCTAGACTAGCTGAATTGGTGAGCTCTTAGTCCAAGTGAGAGACCTTGCCTCAAGATATAAGGTGGAGTCAGGCATGGCGGCATGGCCTTTAATTCCAGCCCTCAGGAGGTAGAGGCAGAGGGGATCCCTGTGAGACTGAGGCTAGTCTGGTCCACAATAGTGACTTCTAAGCATCTTGGGACTAAGGAGACCCTATCTCATATAT